GCGAGTTGGTTGTGAAGGTTTGCTGCTGGCGAGGAGGGCTCACGATCGGGACTGCTCGGAGGTGGTCGGGGTTCGCTGGAGGTTTAACTGTTGGGTTCGCTATACTGTACGGATTAAAATCGCAGCCAAAATTATACAATATAATTATCATTTATCAAATAAATACTTAATCCGTAAGTATAAATAGCGAATAAAATGATCGGCATCTTTTAAAATCACGTAAAAATACGAATTTTGATTTGTAGAGAATTTCAAAAATTACCTTTAATTTTCTTCAAATAGCGATGATGAAAAGGAAATCAATTCCCGTTTATGTGGCTATCACCGTCTTCTTATTCCGTAAGGGATCCAAGTGTCTCCCCTCTAATCGAGTCCACTTTCGGATTCCGACTCCGTGAACAATTTCTTCGCTAGTAGAAATTTTCCGGTATTAAATCGGTATAAGGAATTAATTTAAAAGGAGATTTTTTTTTTTTTTAATTTTGTTTTGCAAAAGCCAAGAGCATTCATGCTCTTTTTGCAAAAAGCTAATGGGAGAGTCTTGTGTGTTTTACATCTCATGTACGCACACATATATGTAGCAATGAGGTTGTTTTAGAAAAGACAAAAAAACCATGTAGAACATATAACATGGAACAAAGCATCTTACAACCCACAACCTTTTTATTAATTAAGATGAGTTAAATCGAACAACTCCCATCTAATATTTTTTTTTTTAATCTTTAATCTTAATTAAAGATTAAATAAAGATAATGACATATAATTTATGAAACTAACTTTCAAAATTAATTGATCAAAATCTTATCTCTCATATAAAATAAAATCTCCTCTTTTATGTAGGCTTTTAATATATAATCATATTAATATTTGGATTTGAAATTTTAAAGTCCAACTTTAAAATTCAATTATTAATTTAGTAATTCCAATAATTACTTAATTAATATCCAAAGCCTAATTAATCAATCTAATTGATTAATTTATTATATTCCTTTAATTAGCTTCTAATCAAAATTAGATTTAATTAAATAATCAAATTATTTAATTAAGTCTTGTCAATTAATCCAACTATTAGAAATACCAATTTCAAAATAGTCATCATCCAAAATTTGGTGTGACCCTTTTAGGTTCACAATTAACACTAGTAGTGGGTTTACAACTCGTTTGTAATTTAAATTAATCTAATTAATTTATATTCTTGAAACTAACTCCTTATTTTCAAGAACCCACAAATCATGGGAACACCTAGCAAGTAGCATGATTATCTAGTGTTAAGTGAAATAGCGAGTAAACCTTTTCAATTGCAAGTGCATACATGTAAAATCCTTTTCGACAACTAATTTCCCGATTAAATCTTGGGCATGGATTTATAAGTCGAAACCCAATTGATTTAATAATTATGAATTCATTTCAATTTTAGTGATTCGTTTATGAATCCATATTCATCCTGCCTTGGCCAAGGTCTTTGAATCACAAACTATGAAAAACATAGGAAATTCACTTATCCACATAAGTGCCGAACTCTTTGTTGGCCACAGATAAACCTCCATACATATTAATACAGTACCCAAAATATCCCTTTTATGATTGTCCAGCAATCAAAGGATAAATCAAAGTAAAGCACAACATGCACAAGATTACTATCGTGCCTCAAGTCAGAAGATCAGTCATGTACTATTGCAACATGAAAATTCTTATTCGACAGTTAAAACTTCCAGTTAAGAATTTTCATCGGGCCATGTTCAGTGAACTTGTTCTCCAACAAGCACCCGCATATATGCATTCGCGTCCACACGCTAATGTTGATGGAATGCAACATTCTCATCCGATGAGCATACATCATATGCACAAGTCTTACCGGGTTATTCGATGTCCTGTCTCGAAACACCCATCGACTTGGAACTTATTTAAGATCACAGCTTTAAAGACATGTTCCATGATTGCCATCAAATGCGCAACCATGCCTCATAGCTAATAATGATCTAAGAACTTTATCATATGTGCAAATATAAAATAAATGCAAATACATAAGATAAAGCTATGCCTCAAAATAATATAATTTCCAATAAATTGTTTTATAAGTAGAAATAAATCCAATCTGATTGGAACGTCGGGCATTCTACTCTAACAATCTCCCACTTGCCCTAGTTCCAATCACCCAAGTATTTCAGGCCCATCTTCTCAAGATGGCCGTCAAACACTTTCTGTGATAAGGGCTTAGTCAGGGAATATACTATATTTTCTGCTGAAGCAATTCAGATCCATGATGACGTCGCCTCTACCAATGATCTCTCTAATCATGTGGTATCGCATCATAATTTTGTTTGGATCTTTGATGAGATCTTAGTGCTTTCGCTTGCGCTATAGCCCCATTGTTGTCACAATAAATCATTATTGGATCAACAATAGATAAGACTACACCCAACCCTTGGATGAAGTTTCTTATCCAAACAACCTCATTTTGCAGCATCTGATGCTGTAATGTATTCAACATCAGTAATAGAGTCAGTAGTCTTTTATTATTTGGAACTTTTCCAACTAACTACTGCTCTATTCAAGGTAAATATGTATTCGAACATTGGTTTTAAGTTGTCTTTATCGGACTAAAAACTAGAATCAGTAAATCCTTCTAGTTTTAGTTCTCCATTGCCATATATCAAAAAGATATCCTTAATCCTTCTTAAGTACTTAAGGATCATCTTAACGGCCTTCCAGTGTTCCTCTCCTGGATTTGACTGATATCTGCTCATGACACTACGTGCATGAGCCACATCATGCCTAGTACATAACATTGCATACATAATGCTACCAATAGCTAATGCATAAGGTATACGAGTCATCCTTTCTCTTTCTTCATACGTCTTTAGAGACATAGTCTTAGAAAGTGAAACACCATGATTCATAGGAAGGTATCCATATTTGGATTTCTCCATACTAAACTGTTTTAGCACCTTTTTTATGTACATCGACTGGGATAATCCGATCATCTTTCTATATCTATCTCTATAGATATTTATCCTTAGGATAAAAGATGTTTCTCCCAAGTCTTTCATGGAAAATTATTTAAACAACCAAGTCCTTGTTGACTGCAACATTCCTACATCATTCCTAATGAGTAGAATGTCATCAACATAGAGCACAACAAATGCTACTGCATTTCCACTAACCATCTTATAAACACATGGATCATCCAGATTTTTGTGAAAATCAAATGTTTTGATCATTTCATCAAACCGAATGTTCTAATTCCTTGAAGCTTGTTTAAGTCCATAAATAGACTTTTGGAGTTTACAAACTATTTGCTCGCTCCCACTAGATATGAAAACCCATAGTTATTTCACATAAATATCTCCTTAATGTTTCTATTAAGAAAAACAGTTTTCACATCCATTTGTCATATCTCGTATTCATAATACGCAGCTATGACTAGCAAGATCCGAATGGATTTAAGCATTGCAACTGGTGAAAAAGTTTTCTCATAATCAACACCTTGTTTATGATTATAACCTTTTGCAACCATACATGCTTTAAAATATTCACTTCTCCATCTACTCCAAGCTTTTGCTTGTAAACCCATCTACATCTAATGGGTACAATACCCTATGGTGGTTTTAACAAGGTCCATACCTTGTTTGAGTACATGGAGTCCATTTCGGACTGCATAGCTTCTTGCCATTTAATTGAGTCAATGTCCAACATTGCCTCTTCATAACTCATTGGATCATTATCCAAAAGGAGTCCCACTTCATTGTTCTCTAACAACAGGTTTAGCTTCTCAGGCACCCTAGAAACCCTTATGGATCTCCGAAGAGGTTGTGTTTCATATGTTCTAGTCTCTACTGGTATATTATCTGTACAACTTGGGGAATAATTTGTGGTTCTTGTTTAAGGTCTACAATCTCGCTATTCTTATTAGAAAGAAACTTTTCTTCTAAAAAGACATTATTCCTCGAAACAAACACTTTTTGTTCAGAGGAATCATATAAATAGCATCTTATAGACTCTCCTGGATACCCCACAATTTTCATAAGATGGATCTAATATCCAACTTATCTCCCACTTGCTGCTTTACATAAGCAGCACACCCCATACTTTGAGATACTAGTACAAAGGTGTTTTGCCACACCATATCTCATAACGTGTGTTAGGCACGACTTTACTTGACATCTTATTCAATATATATGTCTTTGTTTCTAAGGCATAGCCCCAGAATGAAAGAGGTAAATTAGAGAAACTCATTATTGATCGAACCGTGCCTAACAAGGTACGATTCCTCCTTTCTGAAACTCCATTAAGATGTGGAGTACCAGGAGAAGTCCACTGTGAGAGAATTTCATTCTCCTTTAGATAATCAAGAAACTCAGTAGTCAAATATTCACCCCTTCGATTTGATCGAAGATTTTTAATATTACCACCAATTTGTTTCTCCACTTCACATCTAAATTCTTTGAACTTTTCAAAGTTTCAGATTTATACCTTAAAAGGTATACATAACCATACCTCGAAAAATCATCAGTAAAGGTTATGAATTTGTGATAGTTCTTTCTCACACTAACAATTAAATGATCTAAGAACTTTATCATATGTGCAAATATAGAATAAATGCAAATACATAAGATAAAGCTATGCCTCAAAATAATATAATTTCCAATAAATTGTTTTATAAGTAGAAATAAATCCAATCTGATTGGAACGCCGGGCATTCTACTCTAACATCAACGGCGATGGTTGACTGTCGGGGCTCACAGGAAATCGCGGTCCAGCGGAAATCGAGTCTCGAAGTCGTCAGAGGTGGATGGTTCACGGAACTGGTGCTCCAGGTTCATCGCTGGTCGGGTCTGCCGGAAAATCGGGTGACCCTGGCTCGCCGAGAATCTGAACTACTGTTGGGTTCGTCCTCACACCTGGAAGTCGGAGGTCTCGGTCGTTGCTTAAAAAAAAAGGGGTGGACTCGGTTGAATTCGAAATCTACTCGCCAGAAATGAAGGAAGACACCGGTGGAGATGAAGGACACCGGTGAAGATGATTTTGGGAGGGTGAGGGGAAAAAAAGAATTTAGGGAGAGAGATGGAGATGCTCTTTCTGTTGATCGATTGATTTCGATCTGTTGTGGGGGATTTCCTGATCTGCTGCGCGAGAGATGAAGGAGGAATGAAGGTGTAGACGATTCTCCTCTTGCGTGCGATAAAAAAGAAAAATGTAGGGCTTAGGGTTGCAACAAGATTAACTCAAATGGGCCAAGAATAAGTTACATACGTGGGCCGAAACATCGTATCAATTTAGGCCGAATTCAATAATCAAAGGATCGATTTATAAGCTCAAAAGGACTGAAAATGTAAGACAATTATAAATTCTAATGTCCGGATACAAAAACTCGAAAATGGACCGAAACAGAAATAAGAACGACTTTACGCGATTAAGCCAAAAATCGCCGAACAATTTGATCTTCTAATCAAATAAAACGTAATAATTCTAATACATAAAAATAATGAATTAAAGCACATAATTTACACAAACATAAAGTTACATAGTAATTTAACTATAAGCAAATATATAATTATATATATATATATATAATCAGGAGAATTCTAATAAAAGAACGGCTTAGATTCGAATTACGCGATAAACCCGAAATCGCCGAACGACGAACGTTATCGACATAAAATAAGTGGACATCGTGACCAATACAATAAATATAACCTTATAAATAATATTCGATAAATAGAATAATCCTCGAAATTCTATAATCGAACGTGGCGCTACATCAATGGCCACTAATCCAATAGAAGCATTAGTTCTTGAGATCCCCGAAGTTGGATTGCCCACAACTACGGGTGAAGATGATTTGATAGACCAGGTGGCGAGTCGCCCAAAATGGACACAGTTCTGTGACCGATTGGCACAAGATATGTTTCGTGATTGGCAGAATAATGTGTTTTAGGTTAAGAAAGTTTGTTTTTCAATATATGATTATGAGATTGAGGTGAACAAATGTTTCCATGGTTGTTGACTTGTCTTCTTTTTATACCATTTTGTTGTGACATTTTATCCATTCATGTTTGGTTTGGTGTTCTTATTTGTTTATTAATTTTACGAATAAATTAATTTGGATAATGCGATGTGTCTTTATATTAAGAATGCAAACGAATCCTTTTTGTGTAAAAGAGGCCTTCGTGAGAACAGGTACCACCATGGACTGCTCATGTACCTAAGGAAGTTGGCGATCTTCCTCCTCCCAAACAGCAAGACAACGTACGTGGAGCCCGCGTGAGGAGTCTGTCCTAATAGATATTGTGAAACACATGGTTATCGAGGGATGGAGGGCAGATAATATAATTTTGAGATTGAGAAAAGATTGAAGTTGAAGATACCAGACTGCACCCTTCAAGGTGAACCACACATCAGCTCAAATATACATGTGTGGATGAAGAACTATAGGAGTGTGGCACTCATCAAAGGAACTTCAGGCTTCGGGTGGAGTGAGGTGACAAAGTATGGGTACAATGGGTAAAGGTAAGTTATGATACCCATTCATCATGGAATGTAAGAAAGAGATAATATTTCCAAAACATTTGTGCCAATTACATGTATCTAGTTAATGTAGGTGGATCCAAATGCAAAAACACTTAGGAACAAGTCTTTCATGTACATCAACGATTGGGCTAAAATATTTTGGAAAGACAGAGCTACAGGTGAAATTTCACAATCCTTTCAAGATGAAGCCAATGACGTTCCAGAGCATGTCATGCAGGACCAAACAGATTCGCATGATGAGGATGTTCCATCACAGTAGAATCAATCTGATGGAAGCCCAGGCCTTCGCATGGGTAGCATTTCAGGTACGGAGTCCGAGTCCGGAAATAGGGCAGGGAAGAGGGTGAACGGTAGCAAAAAGAAGGGAGACAGTCCCTTCGAGGAGCGTTTTCTGGATATCATGCAGTCCTTTTCCCAAAATACAAAAGAGAGCTTGAATGGGATTGCATGTAGGCTTGGATTTGAGCATGAGGTGGAGAAGAAAAGAAATGTCGTGTTTGACTCATTGTCTAATATGCATTTCCTGTCAAAAGAGGATAAAATGGTTGTCACGATGCGCTTATGTAAGAACCAACATGAGCTGTCAATGTTTTTCAGCCTGTCCATGGAAGATAAAGCTATCATGGTGAAAATGATGCAGGATGGACGTTTGTAGTTCGTTGGAAATGTATAACACTTTTATGTCTGATGTGGAATGTAGAAACTTTGTGTGATGGTAGGACTTGCGAATGATTAATGTTTGTTTTGTGTGTTTGATTTGCCTTTTGAAGACTTTGTAGTTGATGTGCTTGTTTTCATTTGGCTTTTGAAGATATTATTGATGTGTTTGTTTGTTGGACTGTAAAAGAAACGTATTCGGATTCTATGTGTATCATTGTAGTATTTATGCATTAATTTTATATGTATCATTACAAAGCTCCTTTTTTTATTCTATTGTTGTGACGACAAGTAGGGGATGGACAACATGGATGTTGACAGTGACGGTCCTTATTTCTTCAAGGCTGTTCAGTTTCGTACGCTCCATACCATGGTAAGATAGTCTACTTTTTTTTTTTTTTTNAAGATAGTATACTTTTTTTTTTCTTCAACCTACTCTATTTTTGGGTCTGCACCTGTACTTGGTAATATTTTTGGTTTGTGGTTTTATTACGCATGGGTTCAACTATTTGGTGCCTCTATCTTCTTGTGTAACTTACTTCTTCAGTAGGAATGTAACGCCCCGTTTTATTTTAAAGAATTTACCGAATTTATTTAGAAAAAAGCAGAGTATTTTTTTTATAAATCCAAGTTAAAACATTTATCGAGAAACGGGCGCTACTTACTATCCACAACAAACAAATAATAACACCAAATCAATCAATCGATAGAATCTACACATGCTCGAGCTATCAGAATAACAATCTTAATAATCATAAATTTCAAAACCATTCCCAAACGACTAGCATGAAAGCAAGGTTCAAACGAAATTCAACATAGTTCGAAAACGACGAAACAAATAATCCAAAGTGCGATAGCAAATAGATAAACAAGTTTATGCGGAAGCATAGGTTTTCAACACATAATGACCACCATCTCGCTCGTCCTACGCCACCGCCTCCAGCTCGTCTCAACCTAGATCAAAGGAAGAGAGAAGACAACAAGAAAATAATGGGGATGAGCAACCAACAAGCTCATATCGCACAGTTTATCTCGCATAACATTTTAAACCATCATAACCGTAGTATTCAGTATGCATAGAATCCAACAGTCTAACTCCTTACTTGGCCCTATCGTAAATCTCCTATGTACATACAACAACCTTCCGATCACACACGGCAAGGAAGTAACTGGAAACCTTCCCATCACCGAATGGCTACGGGCCTGGGATCCTTTCCAGGAGACAGTAGAGATGTTTTTCCCATTCACGAATATCATACGGACCTGGGCATCACCTCTCCGAATCTACGGGCCGATGACCTCTCACTGTTTATGCATTCCTCAAAGGCACTAACATACGGGACACCTAGACTAGGCTTCTCACACGCATACATCATTTTTCAAACGAAACTTTATACGAAATATTAAGTGCGATAAATATGGAATACATCATAAATGTACCCACCTGATAGCAGCAACAGTTCAAAGTCACAAATCTCGAAATGAGGCGAGGTCAACACCACTAGACACCTACATTATGTCAAGATCCTACAATCAATATCTATCTTAACTTAAATCGGAAATCACAAAACAGACCTAGTCGAACTTGTTTCGACTAAGTAGTTCGTGAAGTCCTGTGGATGTTGGAACACTAAGACTCGGCACTAAACTCGACCAAACCACATAAGGGAGTTCACATAAATCCATCCAAGGGTTGACCATGTCAAACTCACATAAAAAAGAAAAGAAAGTCGATTCCCAACTTTCATTTTAAAATCATGATTCGAAATTAGCAATCATTAATCGCATGAAAATAGATGGTCAGGCTACCCTACGACTTAAGCCCTGAAATTTTACAAAAAATTACATCTCCCAGAAACACGTAAAACCACCAAGTTTCAGCTTCAAACTCGAAATACACTATTTTATAAAATTCGAACAATATATCAACAAAATGGGAACATCAATTCATACTTGAACTTAATGAACGAATCAGAACTTGTAAATTTAACAAAACAACAAACAACATGCTTAAGTCCATGTATAAAAATCTCAGCTCTGAATATTGACTGCTACTATTTTTAAAAATTCATACGAGATTCAACAGTTTATCGAATTTAAATCAAAACCGAATTAAAATGGACTCCAAAAATTTCCACCTTTTAAAAACATGATTCGACACAAAAAGTAAGCATCTCAGTAAAATTTCAGAATTTTTCACGAAATAACCAATTTATAAAAATTCAAACGACGCTCAGCAGATTTGGTAAATAAATTATCAACCACATCAAATCAAGACCAAAAATTCTAAAACTTTAACACAACATATAAAAATCTCAGAGGCATGACATATTCGAATTTCAGCTCATTTGGTTCACGAATGAATTTATTATGCAATTAACACTATTCTGATCAGATTTCATTATAATTATGACAAATAGCTACAGGTTTCTAAGAATCACGAAACTTTTACACAAGGCTATTATTGAACAGAGAACATCACCCTAAAAATTTCAAGTCGTTTCGAGCAGCGAGCTATTTTTAAAAATTCAAATGCCAAAACAACAACAATAAAGCTCGACAATTTTGACAATTATTCCGAAACACGAAAATTCTCGTCCGAGGCCTTCTCATAATACCAAGGGCTCGACATTGTTATAATATCCACCGACTTACACGACTTTCGGGGTCTCGTTCAATTCTGTAAAAATTGAAGAGGTCCCGAATACATATACGTCACATAAAATCATAACGAAACACATAATCGCACATATTCACGTCTCGCAATTCATATATATATTAAATTGTTCAACAAGCACTTCTCGACAATAAACACATAAGGAAATAAATCATATACGAGTTAAACGAGACAGAATCGACGAGGTACCGTTCTCGGGGAAAAAACTCGATAACGAAACGAACAAGAAGAGCGGGAATCGTCGGGAGTTGCAGAGTTCGCCGGAAGGCCTGATTCGCGGCGGCGATAGAGGAGGAGGTGACCGGCGACGATGATCAGACGATGATGACGGGATGAAGGAAGGAGGACGAGGTGATTGCTGGGAAAACAGGAACCGAAAGCAAAAAGAGAAAGGGAGATGGAGACGGTGATGATCGATCGCGATCTGAATAGAATAAAAATTATCACGAGAGGAAGATGAAGAGAAAATCTTTTTTCTCACGTGAGTTTTTGATGGTTGCGGGATTTGGGATTTGTGAAGGGAACCGAGACAAACATATACTATTAGGTTTTAAAAGTCTTGTTGACCAAGACAAAATAAATCCCTAACACACAACTCACGCATGAAAGAAAAAAAGGAGAAAATTTGTTGGGCCGGGCCCGAGTAATTGGGCCGAATTTTCGTGCCTCTTGGGCTGGGTTTGCGACATTTAAATCGGCTCACGGGCCGGTTTGCGAAAATAAATCGGCTCACTGGCTCGATTTCGGTTTCTACAAAAATTCTCGGGCCCGATATAAATTCAAACGCACGATAAAATAAACAAAACTCCGGACAATATAAATTAAATACGTACATTATTTTTAAAATACTAATATTATTAATCAAAATATACAATTAGCAATTAATTGGCAATTAGACATATAATATTTAGACATTCAAATTTACAAGCAATAATTAATAATAACACAATAATAATAATAATAATAATAATAATAATAATAATAATAATAATAATAATAATAATAATAATAATAATAATAATAATAATAAAATAATAATAATAATAATAATAATAATAATAAATAATCATAAATAATCATAAATAAATCTCAAATAAACCACAATTAAATGGGGCATTACAGTCTACCCTCCTTATACGATTTCCATCCCCGAAAATCAAAAAAAATCATCCCAACAGGACAACTGACACACGAGAGAAGCTTAAACCACTCAACTCGGATACTCCGTCCGAATCTTCCCATTCTACCAATTCACACCGCACTAGCCATGGTTACCTCGCCGGACTTTGACGATTACCTCTTCCGGACTCTCCCTGCTGGATTCGTCAACCCAGTAGGTCACCGGTACCTCATCAAAGGTATGGTTCTGCCCACATGCAGCTCGTCAAAGATCGCCTCGTGCCTAGAGTCGTGCACCTGTCCCCTCTCCACAAGGCACTGATGTAACGCCCCGTTTTATTTTAAAGAATTTACCGAATTTATTTGATAAAAATCAGAGTTTTTTTTTTAAAATCCAAGTTAAAAACCTTTAACGAGAAACGGGCGCTACTTACTAAGAACAACAACAAATAACACACATCCATTAACTCAAGGAAACTACACATGCACGAGCTGACAATAAAACAAATCCCAATAATGCATAAAAGTTTCAAAACCATTTCTAAAGGTCTAGCACTAGTCAAAGTTCAACCAACATAAACATAGTTCGAAAAGTGTAAACAGTAAATGATCCGAAGCAAATAAATAAATATCAAGTTTACGGAAGCATAGGTTTTCAAACACATATGACCACCATCTCGCTCGTCCTACGCCACCGCCTCCAGCTCGTCTCAACCTAGAACAAGGAAGAGAAAATACAACAAGAAAAATAATGGGGGTGAGCAACCAACTAGCTCACCATTATCGCACAGTTATCCCGCATAATTATTTTAAAAACAGTAACACAATATTCAGTATGCATAGAATCCAACAGTCTAAACCCCCTACCCGACCCTATCGCAAACCTCCTATGTACATACAACAACCTTCCGACCAAACATCGGCAAGGCCGTAACTGGAAAATTTCCCCCACCCCGAACCACTCACGGATCATGGGAGTCCACCCCGAACTACTCACGGATCATGGATGTTTTCCAGGAGACAGTGGAGATGTTTTTCCCCCCCGAAACTCACACGGATCAGGGCGTCGCCTCCCGGATACAACGGGCAGGTGACCTCTCACTGTTATGCATTCGTCAAAGGCACTACCAATAGGAATACTTAGACTAGGGTTCTCACGCATACATTCATTTTTCAAAAGAAGAATTATACGAAATAAATAGTGCGATAAATATGGAATACAACAAAAGTGTACCCACCTGATAGCAGCAACAGCTCACAGAATCACAAATCCAGAAACGAGGCGAGGTCAACACCTCAAGACACCTACATTACGACAAGATCCTACAATCAGAATCTATCTCGTCTTAAATCAGAAATCACAAGACAGACCTAGTCGAACTCGTTTCGACTAAGTAGTTCGTGAAGTTCTGTGGATGTTGGAACACTAAGACTCGGCACTAAACTCGACCAAAACACGCAAGGGAGTTCACACTAATCCATCTAAGGATTCACCAAGTCAAACTTAAATCAAGTCGATTCCCAAATTTTCATATAACAATTATGTTCGAAAATAGAAATCATTTAATCGCATAAAATTATAAGGT